AGTCCTTATAACAAAATGGACCGCCTGTGGATTCCACGGAAAACAACAGACAGGAATCCTTCTGGACAGAAGAGCGTCGCTGGAATCTACTAGTCCTCCCGAGTTCGCCCGCGCCATCGTAACTCCTCCCATCTGCGTCCAGGAGGCTCCAGCTCAATTGACCGTGCGAGAAACAAGTGGACCGATACAATCGACGATTCTGCGGTGCACGCTGAGATGCGCACGTGCGCTGTAGCGCCAACCCGTGCGACAGGGGGTAAGGAAAAGGATGATGATGATGATGATGATGCTGATGATGATGATGCTGATGATGATGATGATGATGATGATGATGATGATGATGATGATGAGGATGATGATGATGATGATGATGATGATGATGATGAAGAGGATGAGGAGGAAAAGGAGGAGGAGGAGGAAAATAAGGAGCAAATGGAGGTGGAGGTGGTGGAGGAGGAAGGAGGGAAGAGTGTCGCATTCGATTGCCAACAGTTTCCTGCACGCAGGCACTGTGGTGTACACTAGAGCTGCGTTGCACTCGGATGCTGTGAAGTAGACAGGCGCAATGGCGTGCACAGGCGCTGCGGTGCACACAAGCATTGTGGTGTACACAGGCGCTGTGTTGCCACATGGTTGCTGCGGTGTGCACATGTACATTGGCGCTGTAGTGTACACAAGCACTGTGGTGTACACAGGCGCTTCGTTGCACACTGTTGTTGCGGTGTACGCAGGCGCTGTGGTGTACACGTGCGCTGTGGTGCACGCGAGCGTTGTGGTGTACACAGGCGCAGTGGGGCATATCGCCACCTACATGCTGCTCGCGTCGTCGTCGTCGTCGTCGCTCGTCGCTCTTCGCTCATCGCGTTGTGCGCGCGGGCGCGGCTGTGGTGCCGGAGCCACACGGCGGGGGGGACGTTACGTCATACCCCCCCCCCGCCCGCCCCCCAACCCCATGACGCCAGTCATCGTCGAACATAAAAAACGCGCTCTTGCTAGCGCACCTACTTCTCCTCCAAACTCCTCCACTTCCACATCTCCTCCCACACCTCCTACATAAGCTGATGTCGCAAGAGCTGGCTCTCGCCTTCAGGCATCAAAGAAGAATTGCGGCGACATTCGTGTTATGTGGCATCAGCTGCTAGAGATCTGATGAAGCTCGAGATGCGTGGCTGAAATGTCTAACCTCCTAGTTATCGACCTTCACCGCCTCATCCAAGCACCAGCGGGTAACTAGGACACATAATGTTAACCAAGTCAGGTCCAATGTGACAATGACCTGCGGTAGGACTGGGCCAATGTACCGATGCCCGTCCAAATGGCGTATACATCACTCGAAACTCGAATGGCCGATGTGCCCAGAGAGTACACGATACCCTCACCGATGGAACTTCTAGAGACAATGCAGATACGACCTAGTCACGATGCAGTGGTGGAGAGACAAAGAATAGGGCGAACAGGAGGGCAAGAGGAGGGTTTGTATGCGACTGTCTGTAATATGCGCCCACGCGCTGGTGTGATGCGATCTTTGCCTCCTCCCATCTCCCCCCCATTTCACATCCCCCTCCCACAAGTGAGCAATGATGCGGGCTGACATAAGTAGCTGTGAGAGTATGTTGGAACATCCTCTGGTTGTGAACGCAACAAAAGCCTGCAAGAGCTCTTCTGTTGATAATACTCAATTATCCTTCTCCTCCCCCAGTGTCAATCCTGCCTCTCCCTGAGACGACGCCGCGGAACCCCGGCTTGCCGCCTTCGAGACGTCGCCGGCGGATCTTAAGCAGATGCTTGAATCACACCGCAATTCAGTCTGGCTTGGACTCTGTCCAGAGATCCTCCACCGCCCTCCCTCCCTCACCATCTAATGGGCCGACTTTGCACCACCACTACGATGTGTAGGAGAGGGAGGAGGAGGAGCAGGAGGAGGAGGAGGAGGACCTCCCTATCCTCCCTTCTCCCCCGCTCGTTGAGGGTCAGGCCGCAGCCCGCGGCAGTTCGCCACGAAGAGCGCCCCCCCCGCCCCTCTTCCCCGACGCACGCACGCACACAGCCCAGCCCGTCGTCGCCACCGCTGAATTCACCTCGAAATCTTGGTCAGAGCGCACCGCGGGAGAGGTCCAGGGAGTAGCGGTATGGGTATCCTTACGTTTTGGTTTACCCATCGATGCTTTAAACAGGATGATGAGGAAGGATGGGTCAGTACCAGCAGGTGAACGCAAAACGTCATGTGTATAGTGAACGCAACTCTGCTGACTATGCGTTGCCCCTAAGTTTTGCGTGTGCTGATGGAGCGAGATGCTGCGGCAAGTGGCAACCTACTTGTGCGTGTATGTATATATATGCATACACATCGGTGTAGATCCATGCATTACGCGGACCCATGCATACGTATATAGTTACACACAGGCAACACGAGGAGTGGCGCCATGAGGAAACACAATATTGGTGTGGACCTATACACGTTAAGCATAGCCCATCAAGCGACGTCTGTGGACTCAAAACTTCGTTTTATAGATTACACATTAAATGGCCTTGAACCATTTTAATGTGGGAACAACAGGTGCCGCGATTGTTATGCCATCCATGACGAACCTCTTTTCTTCAGTAAGCAAGTCGCTGAACTTTGACCTAATAGTGGGCACGTCTGTCAAGAGTGATAACGTTGCAACAACGTTTTCTTCATACTATCCATCGTGCAGCGTCGCGCTTGCTCATCGCATTCGTATAGTTCTTCATCGAGATTGATGTGCGCCAGCAACTCCTGCATCGCCGCGGCGAGCGAACTGTTGTCTACAACAATGCTATTGATGTAGAGGCCCCCGCTGGTGTCGTGTGCGAGGTGAGTGCTGAAGAACTCTGCTGCATGCTCTCCATTCTTCCCAAGAACGGCAACAGTTACAACAGTTGTTTTTGCCTGTTAGACACCTGGTTTGTCAAGTCCGGATATGTGTGACTGAGCATGGATGGGAGCCAGCATCCTCGTTCTCCGAGCTTGCCGAGCACTGGGAGTTGTCATGCGGCTTCTCCGAGCTGGCCTCAAAACCTTTGCCCTGAACGCACTAGCTTTTGCCCCTGCCCATCACGTAGGTATGTGTGGGGGTGGCATGTACCTTTACAGCAACATGTGATTCGGGATCTGCCCTCACCCGGGCTCCCCCAGGGTGGCGCTGCAATCCGACCTCCGGCAGCAGACGGCGGAGCAGTCGGGGCGTGCCTTCGCTCGGGCGCCCCAGGCTGCCCTCTCCCACTCCTCGGGGTGTGTGTCCAGCAGCCCGACCGCATCCACCCTCCGTGTCCCAATGTTCGCAACAGATTGTGCCTGAGGGTGCGGGGAGGCGAGATTCGAATGCAGCGTGTTCTGCAGCAGGCTTCCGTTTTTCCCTGGATTCGTGGGGACTGATTCGGAGGCGGCGTGCGCATTCGAAGACGTGGTATGATGGGCAGACAAATAAGAGGAGTAATGCAAGTCCTGTTTAAATGTGTCGCCTTATTCTGTACCTGGAACATTTTTCATCGCATTGGCACCTGTGATGTGTCGCCGTATCCTGTGCCTGTAAAGCCTCTCCACTGCGGTGGCCCCTTTGCAGTGACAACCTGGAAGTGTCACTGCCTCTTGCGTTTGAGACTCGGGATCTGTCCCTTTGCCAGTTGTAGCGCGACCCACGTGCAATATCTGTACTAGACGGTCGCGTCGACGACGGCGCTTAGACTTGTAATATATTGCGGATTGTCATGCCTTCGTTGATGCGTCCATGTCGCCGTAAGGCCGCCACCGCCACGGCGTCTCCGGGTCAACATGTTTAAACATCTCGCCGAGTGGCTCTGGCCGTGGGCGGCGCGTGGGCGACGCACTCGGCGGGATGGCCTCGCTGCGCGGCTCCGAGCGTTTTGCCCCCCTGCGGGAAAACGTGCTCGGGATCACGCTCTTTTCTAATCCTCCTCCTCCTCCTCCTCCTCCTCCTCCTCCCCTCCTTGTCCTCCTCCTCCTCCTTCCCCCTCTTTCGTCCTTTGCTTCTTTCTTCCCTCCATCCTTCTTTTCGCCCGTCTCATCCTCGCTCCTCCCTCCGTCCTCCTCTTCTTTCCTCTTTCCTCTCTTTTCTTCTCCTCTTCCTCTTCTTCCTCCGTTGCCTCCTTCCTCCTCCTCCTCCTCCTCCTCCTCCGTGCTGCGATTCGCCACTCACGTCCACGAGCGGCGATTGCGGCCGTGCTTGCAATTTGCAGCAGTCGCACGCGTGCTCTTGCCAGTGATCGGCATCCGTAGCGTTCACGTGACAGCAGTGCAGCGGCTGTTCAGAGGCCTCCAGAGACCCGCAGAGGGCCATGCCCGTCCACCTGTGTTCGATCCTCGCTCTTCGCACCTCGGTGCCCCACTTCCCTCCCTCGACCCTCGATTCTCGACCCTCTATCGTCGACCCTCGATCCTCGACCTTCACGGCCTCGAGCCTCGATCCCCTTCTTCCCAAGCACGTCCACCTATCCTCGACCCTCGATCCTCGAACCTTTATCCTCCTCGTCCTCCATCCCTCGACCCTCGATCCTCGATCCTCGATCCTCGACCCTCGATCCTCGACCCTCGATCCTCGACCCTGCACGGCCTCGATCCTCGATGCCCCTCCTCACGAGGCGTGGAACTATCCATAGCCACCACCTGGGGGATCGATCTTCGGGGACCTCGGCATGCGGTGGACAAGAATGTGATCGGGCACCCTGAGGCCAACACATGCCCACTTTCACTGCCTCCTGGGGTCCTAGGACGTCGATTCCCCAGGCGGTGGACATGGGTAAGTACTCCTCTCCCTCGACCCTCCTCCTCTCCCAAGCACGCCCACTTATCCTAGATCCTCGCACCTCGCACCTCGATCCTCCTCCTCCTCCTCCTCCTCCTCCTCCTCCTCCTCCTCCCTCGACCCTAGATCCTCGACCCTGCACCCTCCGCCCTCGATCCTCGACCCTCCTCCGCCTCCAGCCTCGATCCCCTCCTCTGCCCTCCCCGCGGCGCGTAGGCGCAGGGCGCGGAGGGCGCGGCGGAGGCGCAGTCGGCCCAAGCATGCGTTCAGGCCCGCCCTGGCCGCGGCTTTCGCGGCGCGCGCAGCGCGCTTGCGGCTGCGCGCTTTTCCCCCTCCCCCTCATCCTCCTCCCTCCTTCCTCCTTCCTCCTCCCTCCTCCTCCTCCCTCCTCCTCCTCCCCCTCCTCCTCCTCCTCCTCCTCCTCCTTTTCCCTCTCCTCCTCCTGCCTCTTCTCCTCCTCCTCCCTCTTCCTTCCTCCTCCGCCTCCTATTCCTCCTCCCGTTCCTCCTGCCTCTCTCCTCCCTCCTCCTCCTCCTCCTCCTCCTCCTCCTCCTCCTCTCCTCCTCCTCCTTCTCTCCTCCTCCTCCTCCTCCTCCTCCTCCTCCTCCTCCTCCTCCTCCTCCTCCTCCTCCTCCTCCTCCTCCCCCTCTCCGCGCTTATCTCGGCCGCTCCTCGGGTTCACCGCCCACCAAACCACCCCAACCCAACCCGAAGGCCCTGATTTGCCTTCCATCTCCAGTGGAGGGGAGGTCGGAGAACATACGAAACACACATGTGTGAGGCCCGTACTGCCCCCCCAACCCGAAATTGGGGTCGGGTTGGGTTGGGGTGGTCTGGTAGGTAGTCACGGGTGGTCTGCGCTGAGGCGTCGCCGGCCGCCGCCCACAGGCGATGACTCGTCCGCGGACGGCTTCTGTGCACCGTGGTGGTGGTGGTGGTGGTAGTAGTGGCGGTGGTGGTTTGTGGTAGATTGTGGTGGTGGTGGTTTGTGGTAGATTGCGGTGGTGGTGGTGGCGGTTTGTGGTAGATTGTGGTGGTGGTGGTAGTGGTGGTGGGTTTTTGTGGTGGTGGTGGTGGTGGTGGTGGTGAGTTGTGGTGGTGGTGGTTGTGGTGGCTGTGGTGGCTGTGGTGGTGGATGTGTGGTGGGTTGGTGGTGGTGTGGTGGTGTGTTGAGGTGGTGGTGTGGTGGTGGTGGTAGTGGTGGTGGTGGTGGTGGTAGTGGGGTAATCGTCTCTGCGTCCCCGCCGTCGCCGGCGCCGGCGCCGGCGCGGGGGGGGGATTTGGACCCCCCCCTTGGGCTGCCTCTAGTCATCGTCGCTGCGTCCCTGCCGTCGCGCTGCTGGCGGCCGCCAGCGCCAGCACCGGCGCCGGCGCCCAGGGGGGGGGGGGTCGGGAGGGGGGGGGGGTTGGGGGGGAAGGAAGTCTCCCTGGTTCTGATCGACGGCGCCGAGTGTTGGGGGGTGCGTGCAGGCCCACCCCCCGGTTCGAAACGCGCCGCCGAATGTTCCCAAGGCAAGCGCCCGTGAAACGCGCTCTCTCCATGGTGACTACACCGCGTGGTGAGTCGGTGGGGGTTCAGGGTTTTCGGACGTTTTTGTTGATTTGTGGAGATTCTCCTGCCCCCGGATGCGCTCCAGCAACTGCGGCTCGTCGAGAGCGTTTCGGGGGAGCCCAGATCGCCCCGAACGTTCGCCGCAGTCTTCAGTGTGGGCCTGAAAGCCAGACATTCTGAGGACGGCGAGTGTAGTGAGTCAGTGGTGATTCAGGGGCACCGAACGGTACTTCTAGGCCTCCCAGATGGGGTCGGAATAGACGGGGTCGGAGGATCGCGCAGCATCGCCGGTGCATCGGCGATGCGACGGCGATGCGGCTCGATGCGGAGCCCGATTTTCTCCACGCCGACGTCGCCGATGTGTCGCCGACGTCGGCGATGCATCGAGGATGCATCGCCGAAGCATGGCGATGCGGCGCGATCCTCCGACCACAGCTGCTCGGACCCCATCTAAGAGGCCTCCAGTTCTGGCACTCGGGCCGTCCTCCGAGAACGTCTCGGGCGTCCGGGGCTTGCGAGGTCCAAAGGCCGTGTGGTGACGGACCGCGCGGTGGTGTCTCGCTGTCGGGATTTCGAGGGCCGCGCGCGGCCCGTCGCCATACGGTCTTGGGAGCCCTGGAGCTCCCGCCTCCCGGCTGCTCGTGGCGGTGGGCGGAAGGAGGACTGCGATGGCTTGTGGCGACGGCGCGGGCCGTGTATCGGCCGCTTTGGCCACGGCAGGGGTACGGACAGAGCACCGATCGTTTGCTGTCAGTACTCGGCGGCTGCTCTCGTGGTTGAAGCACCAAGGCGAGGAAGCAGAGCCGGGGTTCCCAGGAGGCGTTCGGGGGCCTCTGAAGGGCCGCCAGGCGGAGGCTGGGAGGAGGAGGGACTACCAGCCTGAAACGTATCCCTATCCCTATGAGTGGTATCAACTTACCTCGTTTCCTATCTGAAGGACTCCCTCGATTTCAGAGTGCGCGTCCCCAAGACTGTCATCACCGTTGGGCGTGCGAATCTCAGGGATGGGGATGAGTTTCAGTCTGGTGAGTGGAGGAGGCCCCAGAGGTCCGACCGTGTTTTTGTCCAGTCAGCCACGGGCTCCTCGCCTCTCGACCCGCTCCCCATGGGGGTCTCCCCCCGGGTCCAAGACAGCTGCTCACAACAACATGTACTTCGTTCGATTAGCACCATCGGACAGGCAAGGTCATCAAACAACGAATCGGTGTCTTAGTATGTGTCGTTGCACGTAATCAACAGGTATTACGCTCGATGGGCACTATCGGACAGGCAAAGTCATTTAACAACGAATTGGTATCTTAAAACGTGTGGTTGCACGTAAGCGTTTCGATCCAGACACCCTCCGCGTCTCCAGGGGCGCACAAGGAGGGAGGCCCCTGGAGATCGAGATAATGAGGAAGGCGCGCCGTAGGTGCACAGGATCAGTCCGCACGTTTTTGGGTCGGACGACGTGGGGGGACGTTGAAAGGGGGGGTACAGTCAGCCCGCATAGTAAGGATGGGCAACCTTCCCAAGGGTACCCTTGCATCCTGGCTTCTCCGGCCTGTCCTTGCCCCTTCGACCCATCCTCAGCGATTCTCGATGGCCAGCCTCGTTCGAAAAACAGTAACGTTGCCCTCCAATGCCCTCGCATCCTTACCGCGCGTCCTTATGATACGGGCCGACTGTACAGTGGAGAGTCATGCCAAGAAACACCCTGCTTGCCTCCAGGCTGCCCTGGGTTTCTTGGGTTTCGACAGTTTCGCTATGGAAAGCGCGACGCTCCCACACCAAAAATCCATGGATGATCAGGGGTCTCAGGATTGGGTCTCTTGTGGAAGGTTTCTTGTGGCCGGACCTCCACTGTACCGCGCGTCCTTCTGATACGGGCCGACTGCAAGACAGCCGATGCCTGCAGCTGGCCTCGGCCCCGCCGCGGGGCACGCTCTCCTCGAGGCACGGGCCACGCCCTCCCTTCGCCGCGGGCGGCGACAGGGAAAACCACCGCTTTTTACCCCTGCGGCGCTGGGAGGCGCCCGCGGCGCGAGCCGAGTCGTCCCGTCCCTGCAGTGGAACCTCCCCTTACCAAACCCCTGTACAAACTCCCCCTTTCATCCCCCTTTACAAACCCTCCTTTACAACGCCCCCCCCGTACAGTGGAAACCCGTGCCAGGAGAAACGCCCTGCTTGCCTCCAGGGTGCCCCGGGTTCCGCGGGTTTCGATGGTCTGGCTGTGTAGAGCGCGACGTCCCCACACCAGAAATCCATGGGCGCCCTGGGGTCTCAGGGTGGGGTTCATGGTGGCAGGCTCCTTGTGGTCACGCTCCTGCTGTAGTCCGAGGAAGCCACCAGGCTGGAGGAGGAGGAGGAGGAGGAGGAGGAGGAGGAGGAGGCCACTGGCTCGCGCGGTCCACCGCAGGTCAGCGTGGAGCCCTGGACGGTGCTCAGCTCGCCGCCGGCGCCGCCGGCCCCGCTGCGGCAGCCTGCGGCGGGCAAGGCGAAGGGCAAGGCAGGGGGCGCTGGAGCCAGAATTGCCCTCGCCGCTGTCGTCGTCTCAGGAGGGAAAAAAACACACAGACACAATTAATCGTCGATTCCCCAGAAAATGCGGGAAAATATGGGAATTGGGCGGGAAGACAAAAACCCAGAAAATATAGAAAATATGATGGGGAATCTTTTTATTTGTGTGTATTTATTTGTGTGTCCCAGGGCCCCTTCATCGTCGCTGCAGATCTCTTGTCGGCGGCGAGCCTGGGGGGAAGTGGGGAGGGGAAGGCCTCCTCAGCAGGTTCGGAGCCCCCACGCACACCTCGCAGAAGGCGCGAGGGCCTCTGAGAAGCCGCGCCGCCTTCTGAGTTGGCCTTCTCATTCTAACTTTCCCCTCGCTGGCCGCCGATCTTGATCTAACAGTCTCCCCCCCAACTCATGCTGCAAGTCTTGTACGGCTTCGAGGGCGTGACCAAGAACGGAACAGGCGATTTGGCAGATTCTGGTGCAATTGTGTATTGCGCAGGAACGCCTATAAGCAACGGACGGTTTGGCAGATTGCGGGGTGCTTGGCGCTCAACCTGTAGCGCAACGGTGCACCTTATAAGCAAGAGACGACTTGGTGCACTGCAGGATGATTGGCGCAACCTATATCGGAACCTAGGGCGCAATACGCTGCTGGTGTCTGCCGCATTCGTGCACGGGGTGCCTGGCGCAGACTGTGGTTTTGCGCGGCGGGATTTCTGCTGCAGCCAGTGGCGTAACCGATGGAAGGTTTTTGCTTGGCATCGCTCGGACGTGGGCATGTTTCCTTCGGCGAGGACCATCGAGGAGCATCCTTGATCATTTGGCGAAAAAGTCGCGCACGAAACCGGAAAAAGCACAGGGAATGGACGTCCGAGCGATGGCCAGTTTGACCACAGGGGAGGGATCTCGATTTGGTTTCTGTAGGGCGACGCGCTCTATACGCACCCACTGCCCCAGGCCTGGCCCCGCCCGGGCCCGGGAGTGGCGTCTATGGCCCCCCCGCCCTGGCCAGGGAGGCATCTATGCACCGCTGCCGGGCCCAGGAGGGGCCAGGCCTGGGACGGTGGACACGTCTAGGTCTCGTCGCCCTGTATCGATGCGGCGTGGTGTCTGCCGCAACCTGTGGCGAGCATAATGTCAGGAGCGAAAGAAGGACGTACATGTACATGAATCCACGCTGGTTTCGAGAGCACGCATTGCACAAATGTTCGTATCACGCGGCCGGTCTCGCGAATCGAGGGGCCGTGTTCATGTACATAGCTGGGCGCGTACGTCCTTTGTGGGCTCCCTATAATGGCAAAGCATGGTCAGGATCTCCTGGAGTGTCTGACCTGTTCAGCACCAGAGGCGTTCCCCTTGGATTCGGGGAAGCGCCTCCGGGCCCGAGGGCCATCCACTTTTCCGGGATGGAGTCTTGTTCCCGGGGGAGCAGGAGGGACATACAGGAGGAGCACACCGACACCTCTTCTGCAAGTCGACAAGAATTGTCGCCCCGTCCATGGGCGTGACCACGGACCGTCAAAAATGAGCAGGGATAGAAATTGGCCTGGCGAAGTGGGTCGAAAGATCTGGGCGCTGGCGGCTACAGAAAGTCGAATCGTCGAAAGCTGGGAGGAGGCAGCGGGGCTCTGTCGGTTTTGGCCTTTCTGGGCCCTCTGGGAGAGCCCTGGTCGCCTCGGCTGGATTCGCCTCGAGGCCCGAGGTTGCCCCAAAACGCCTCCGTGAGCTGTTCGAGACGTTCAGGGGTCTCGGGAGGACCCAGAGGATGGAGGTCAAGCCTTCGTTCCGAAGGTTTGACCTCCACGAGCCTCTCCCGGAGAACGCCCCCCCGAGCCTCTTCCGGAGAGCATGCTGGCCATGATTCGGAGGAGTCGCACCCGCGGCGATAGGGGAGCCTCGACTTCCCTGAAGTGGTGAAGGAGCAGAAGCGGGAGGAGGAGGAGGAGGAGGAGGAGGAGGAGGAGGAGGAGGAGGAGGAGAAGGAGGATCAGCATAAACCAAGGTTCACCAACGATGTTGGAATCTACCCTCCCTCCAAGCCTCCTCTTCGTAGGCCCCAACGAGGGTTCACTTCAAAAAGGAAGTGCGCTGTTTGGAGACAACCGCTTGAAAATTCTGAAGCTCGCCAAAATACCATTTCCATGACTTCAACGCCACGGGTCAACCTGACCGTGGCGTCTTGACGATCCTGACGCGGACGTCAACACCGCAAATGAACGTAGCCGTTGCGCCCTGACAATCCTGAATCGTTCCGAAACGCCACTTTTAGTACATTGACCATCAGAAGCAGTGAAACTCTTGAACACCAAGAATAGCGAATGTGCGCGGCGCTAAGACGAGAGCCACAGTTTGAATAGAAATTGTCCTCATTCTATGAAGCTCTTTCACTGTTTCAAACCGAATGTGCCCGCTCTCAATCCGTGAAGCTCTTGCATGTTTTTGAAACGAATGCGCGCGGCGCTAACCCGAAAGCGACATGTTGAAAACCACCAGCCCTCGATACGTAACACTCCTGTAAGTGTTTGAAACGGACGTGCGCGGCGCTAAGGCGAAAGCCAAATTTTGGAAGTGACCCGCCCTCCATCTGCGAAACGGTTGACAATTTTTACGCTTGAGGAGAATACATGGTAAGGCAGTCTCAGGGGAAGCGCCCGGCCCGCCCTTCCTACTGGCCTCGGGGTGCGAAACGAGGAGTTATTCATAAGAAAAAGGGAGTGAAGGAGGAGGAGGAGGAGGAGGAGGAGGAGGAGGAGGGGGAGGAGGAGGAGGAGGAGGAGGAGGAGGAGGATGAGTTGGAGGAGTTGGAGGAGGAGAAGGTGGCAGAGGAGTCGGAAGAAAGGGGGTAGGGTTAATGTTGTTCATGACGGTGATGACGTTCCTTACTATTTTTCTGCTTTTGCTGATGATGTTGCCTGATGATGGATGATGAGGATGACGATGCCGATGACGGTGGGGATGACGGTGATGACGATGATATTCATGATGATGGTGGTTCTGGTGATGAGGGTGATGATGCATATAATGATGATGGTGATGGTGATTAGGATGATGATGATGGTGATGTTGTTGTTGGTGGTGGTAATGATAATGATGATGACGATGATGCTGCTGCTGATGATGATGATGATGATGTTGACGGTGATGATGCAGATAATTATGATAATGAGGAGTAGGATGACGATCATTCCGACGATGACGATGACGAATCCGATGCCAATGTTGATCCTGATGATGATGACGATGAAGATAATGCTGACAATGATGCTGATGCTGATGACGACGACGATGATGATGATGATGATGGTGATGGTGATGGTGATGGTGATGGTGGTTATGCTGATGACGATGATGCTGATGGTGCTGAGGGTGATGATCGTGACAACGGTCAATCTGATGATGATGGTGACGACGATGATGTTGACAATGATGACGATTATCATGTTGGTGTTACCGATGATGTTGAGGATGATGCTGATGATCATCATGATGATGACGCTGTTGATGTTTTGCTGCTGTTGCTGACCATGCCGATGCTGATGATGATGGCGATGATGCTGCTGCTGATGCTGTTGATGATGCTGATGATGATCAGGCTGACGTTGACGTTGATGATGATGCTACTGATGCTGATGCTTACTATGCTGATGTTGAAGTTGATGTCGTTGATGGTGCTGACGCCGTTGCCGATGACGATGATGCTGACAATGATGATGATGCTGATGATGATGATGCTGCCGATGATGCTGATGCTGATGTTGCTCATGATGACGATGATGATGATGGCGATACTGATGACGATGCCGATGACGATGCGGCTCCTGCAGCTGATGGTGATGCTGATGCTGATGATGCTGCTGATGATAAGGATTACGATGTCGATGACGCTGGGGATGACGGTGATGACGATGATATTGATGATGATGGTGGTTCTGGTGATGAGTGTGATTATGCATATACTGATGATGGTGATGGTGATGAGGATGATAATGATGGTGATGTTGGTGGTGGTAATGATAATGATGATGATGACGATGATGCTGCTGCTGACGATGATGCTGATGACGGTGATGATGCAGATAATCATGGTAATGAGAAGTAGGATGACGATCATTCCGACAATGACGATGACGAATACGATGCCAATGTTGATCCTGATGATGATGACGATGATGCAGATGATGCTGACAATGATGCTGACGCAGATGACGACGATGATGATGATGGTGATGGTGATGGAGGTGTTGCTGATGACGATGATGCTGATGGTGCTGAGGGTGATGATCGTGACAACGGTCAATCTGATGATGGTGACGACGATGATGCTGACAATGATGACGATTATCATGTTGGTGTTGCCGATGATGTTGAGGATGATGCTGATGATCATCATGATGATGACGCTGTTGATGTTTTGCTGCTGTTGCTGACCATGCTGATGCTGATGATGATGGCGATGATGCTGCTGCTGATGCTGTTGATGATGCTGATGCTGATCAGGCTGACGTTGATGTTGATGTTGATGATGCCGCTTATGATGCTGATGCTTACCATGCTGATGCTGAAGTTAATGATGTTGATGGTGCTGACGCCGATGCCGATGACAATGATGCTGACAATGATGATGCTGATGATGCTGATGCTGATTATGTCGATGATGCTGATGCTGATGTTGCTGATGATAACGAGGATGATGATGATGATGATGATGATGATGATGATGATGATGATGATGATGATGATGATGATGATGGCGATGTTGATGACGATGCCGATGACGATGCGGCTTCTGCTGCTGATGGTGATGCTGATGCTGATGATGATGCTGATGCTGATGATTATGGTGGTGCTGCTGCTGCTGATGTTGATGATGATGATGATGATCGTCGTCGTCGTCGTCATAGTCGTCATCGTCGTCATTACTGTAAAATGTTCTTTTTTAGTATTGTTAGTATTGTTGTTGGTTTCGTTGTTGTTGTTGTTGTGGTTGTTGTTCGTGTTGAACTCTCATTTCTGAGGAATAATTTCTGTTGATTCCCCCTCACCTGTGCACATTTGTTTTTCTCAATCAAAGTGTGCCACTCAACGCTCGCACTCTGTTTTTTGTCAGGGAAAGTCTTGATGCTCAAACTGTACCCCTGGCCCCCCGGATTACAACAACAACCGCTCCCGCCTGAGACTTCCTCCAAATTTACTCAGGACCTCCGCTCCCGCCTGAGACTTCCTCACAATTTACTCAGGATCGGTGCTCCCGCTTGTGACTTCCTCGCAATTTAGTCAGGACCCCCAGTCCCATTTGAGACTTCCGCACAATTTGCTCAGGAACGGCGCTCCCGCTTGAGACTTCTTCGCAATTGAATCAACATTTTCCCGCTATTTAATCAAGACCCCCGCTCCCGCCAGAGAACCACTTACATTTTATTCAGGAATTGCGCTCCCGCCTGTGACTTCCATGCAATTTATTAAGAAATCGCGCTTTCGACGCTCAGGAAACCCGCTGCGCCAAGGACGCCGTCACAATTTACTTAGGAATCGCGCTCTCGCCATTTTCAGGCATCCCGCTTGAATGTCCCACCCGCCCGACCCGCCCGTCAGGGGATCGCCCGCCCGTCGTGGGTCCCGCCCGGGACTTCCTTCAGGAACGGCGCTTTCGCCTATCCTCGAACGTTCACGCTCTTACCTTCCTGCTCCTCCTCCCTCTCCCTCCTCCCTCCTCCCCCCTCTCCTCCTTTCTCTCTTCCTCCTCTCTTCCCTCATCCTTATGCCTCTCTGCCCTATCCCCTCTCCCTCCTCTCCCTCCTCCCTTCTCCCTCCCCTCTCCTGCCTCCTCTCTCCCTCTTTCCTTCTCTCTCTCTATCCCCTCTCTCTCTACCTCTCTTATCTGTCTTTCTCTCTCTCTCTCTCTGTCTGCTCTAATCAACCGCCCCTCTGTTCGCTTCTTCTCTCCTGGCGTTTTCCCTCTTCCTTCGTCCCCCCCTCCCTTGCTCCCGCTCTCCCTCGTTCTCCCTCTCCTCTTTTTGCAGGGCCCACATCAATTCCAATAGCGGGCACATGTACGCCCACGAAGGATTGTCCGCCCGTTCAGGTTTGCCCGCCTGTCTAAGCCCGCCGCCCCCTGCAAAGGTAATTAATCCCCCAAAGGGGGTGTGATCGAAGACAAAAAGGGTGTGTATCGAGGGTGTGGGAACCCGTTTTGAATGACACACGAGCAAGTAAGAGTGAACCGTTTTATACTGTTTGTTGTTGTTGCTGTTGAATCCTCACTTCTAGAGAATATGTACAGTGGGCCCCCCATTGCGGTAACCATTTTGTATTTTTGAATTAAAGTGCTCCTCCCAGGGCTCGCACCTGGTTTTTGTACAAAGGAAGGTGGGGTGTCACCAAACTGGGCCCTTGGCCCCCGAGTTACACCAACAACAACAACGGCTCCCGCTTGAAATGTCCTAACAATTGATGGAGGAATCACGCTCTCGCGCGGGAGTTCCGCACAATTTATGCAGGGATCGCTCTCTTGCGTGGGATTTACGTCCTCGTTTTTTTTCAAACGCCGCGCCCTCGACACTCATGAATCACGCTCTCGCTGTGGATTTCTTCACGGTTGACTCGGGAAACCGAGCTATCGCTCGAGACTTTCTCGCGATTCATGCAGGACGCACGCTTCAGCAACCTGCCTGCTCAACCTGGCCGCCTGGGCCCGCCTTCCCGACCCGCCCGTCAGGGTCTACCCGCCCGATCTGCCCGTTTGGTTCAGCAGCGTGTTTTCTGTTCCGAACCCTTCTCCTGCTACTCCCTCTCGTGCTCTATCCCCCTCCCTGCCCCTCCTCCCTGCCCCTGTTTTCCCTTCCTTCACCCGTCCTTGCTTCCCCTGTCGTAGGGGCCGCACGAAGTACATTTTGCAGGTATGAAAGATATACCCCAAAGGGGCGCGATCAAAGACGAAGAGGGCGGGTATAAACGGTTTGGGGTGTACGTGTTGAATGGCACGCGAGCAGATAAGAGCGAGTTGTCCGAGTATGTTGTTGTTGTTGTTGCTGCTGTGGTTGTTCATGATGTTCATGACGGGAGGAGGAGGCGGACGAGGAGGAGGAGGAAAAGCAAAAGCAAAAGGAGGAGGAGGAGGAGGAGGAGGAGGAGGAGGAGGAGGAGGAGGACGAGTTGGAACAGGAGGAGGAGGAGGAGGAGGGAGGAGGAGGAGGAGGAGGAGGAGGGAGGAGGAGGAGGAGGAGGAGGAGGAGGAGGAGGAGGAGGAGGAGGACGGGGGGGGGGAAGCGGGGACGGAGGGGGTGAGGGATGGGAAAAGGAGGGCCCCCGCCGTCCCGCTAACAGGGGGCTCCGCCTGCGCCGAAGGGCAAGGCGGCAGCCGTGGCTCCGCCCCCCCCGGGCAAGCGCGGCGGGAAGGACCGCTGCGCCGCCCGCTCCCCCGGAACGCGGGGCTCTGCTCTCGGCGGCGCGTCGCCGATGCATCGGCGATGCGCTGCCGATTGCAAGTCGATGTTTCTCTTTCCCCGATTTCCTCCATTCCTTGCCCTCGTACAGTCAAAGACCCTGATAAGGACGCGCGACTTTGCTCAGGGTACCCTAGCGTCCTTGCTCTTCCTTGCTCTTGCGTCCTTGAGGGTTTCGTCGTCCGCCGCCCCAGAAATCCCAACCTCGGCTTCCAAGGGTCTTGAATCCTTACCGCGCGTCCTGATTAGGGTTTTTGACTGTAAGTTGTTCCTCCCTGTCGCATCCCGAGGCCGGTCGAAAGGGCGGGCCGAACGTTTCGCCTGAGACTACCTCACCGCTCATGCCCCCGAAGCTGAAAACATGGCAAAGGGTTTCGCAGATGGAGGGCTGGCCGCTTCCCAAATGTGGCTGTCGCTTCAGCGCCGCGCGCATTCTCGTTTTCCAGAATTTGCAGGAGTTTTGCGCATTGAGGGCGGGTGGTTTTCAAAATGTGGCTCTCGCTTTAGCGCCGCGCGCACTCGCTTTCGACACATTGCAGCAGTTATACAGATGGAGGGCGGCTCCTTTTCACAATGTGGCTCTCGCCTTAGCACCGCGCACAAAACATTGCCAGAGTTTCGCGGATTGAGAGCGGGTCGTTTCCAAAAATGTGCCATTCGCTTTAGCGCCGTGCACATCCGTGCAACCAAACAAAAGTGTGAGAGTTTCACGGATTGAGGACGCTGGTTTTCAAAATGTGGTCCTTGTCATCGCGCCGTGCGAATTCCCATGGTTAACGTACCGGACACGGCGTTTTGGAAGGACTCAGGATTGTGAGGGTGCAATGGTTACGTTGGTTCTCGGTGTTCAAGTCCTTGGAATGGTGTTCGGGCGCGACTCAGGATCGCCAAGACGCAATAATCAGGTTAACCCGTGGCGTGGGAGTCCCGAGAATGGTATTTTGGCACCTTTCAGGGTCTTCAAATGGCTGTCTCCAAACGAGGCAGTTCCCTCAGTGGAAGTGAATCCTATGGGGCCTAAGAAGGGGGAGCTTGGAGGGAGGGTTTATTCCAACATCATTGATGGGTCTTGTGAATACACCGGTCCTCATCCTCCTCCTTCTCCTCCTTTTCCTCCTCCTCTTCCTCCTCCTCCTTCTCCTCCTCCTCCTCCTCCTCCCCCTCCTCCCCCTCACTCCTCCCCCCCTGCCTCCGCCCTCCTGCGCCCTCCCTCGGGCACGGGCGACGAGGAGGGACCGCGACGGCGCCGACGGCGGCGGAGGATGGGGGATGTTGCAGAAGGGCGTCCTGGGTGACCCTCGTCGCCACCGCAGGATTTGCCTCGATATTCGAGTCAGAACGCACCCCGGGAGAGGTCTGAGGAGTAGCGGTATCGCTATTGTCCCCCCCCCAGAGGGGGCGGAAGTGGATGGGGAGGAGGAGGACGGTGACGGACGACGGACGCCGCTGGACGACGATGATCGCGACGGCGACTGTCATCACTGCGACGGTCACGACAACGACGATGAGCACGACGACGACTGCGGTGGCGGCGACGACGATGGTGGGCGACGACGGCGTCGATTGGCGGCGATCTCGACGACCGCGTTTACTCATTACGACGGCGATTAGGACGATTACGATCACGACAACGGCGACGACGGCGACGACCGCGACGATCAAGACCAGGGCGGCGGCGGCGGCGACGACGACGATGGCGGCAACCTGCGTCTCCTCTCGCAATCGTTCGCTGGGCCTCCTGGGTGGGCCGCCTCGCCACGGCTCGGCTCCTCCCGAAGTTTTTTTGTGAGCACGCGCTCCGGGAGATGTCCTGAGAGGGGGGATTCTTCGGGGGCGGCCAAGAGGGTGGACGACTAGGGCGGGGAGATCTCATTCGAAGAAGAAAAAATTCGCAATAATATAGAAACTTGTGGCGCTCGCGCGGATTTCTCGGATCCGCGCTGGGCCCCCCTGGCGGCGCCTCCGGCGCCGCCCCTTGCGCGCTCCGCGCGCCAGGGAGGTGGGTCCAGCGCAGATCGAAGAAATCCGCGCGGAGCGCCCCAAGTTTTTGTTGGTGGCGTTTTCTTCTAATCAGGGCTGGCGCGATATCTCGCCAGATGTCCTGGCCCCCCCTCCTCATCTCAGTACGTCCCTGGGATCTCCCAGGCCGCGCCCGTGGTTCGGGCCCTGAATTGCGAACCCGCCTCTTGGACGCTCCTCTTTTGGGCGCGCCCAGATTCTGTGTTGGGAGGGGGATAATGCAAAAATCACGAGGTAGTAGTAGTAGTAGTAGTAGGAGGACCAGAAGGAGGATGGGAGGGCCATAGTGAAGCCAGCAAGCGCAAGTGAAGCTGCAATTAGCGCTCCTCCTCCATCCCAGCCTGGGATCTCCGCGGACGAGGAGGAGGAGGAGGCGGAAGAGCGACGGCTTCTGAGAAGCCTCGTCGCTTTCTGAGAAGGCCTGTCCCCTCTCACTTCCCCCCTGAGCTTGCCGTCAAGCAATTGTGCTATGCGAGCATCAGGAGCCGCATCGGGCCGCCCGGAAATTCAAGTCGAGTCGTATCGAGCCGGGTGAAGTCGATGTCGAATCATCTCCGCTGCCGTCGCCGTCGTCGTCGCGGTCGACGTCGCCATCGCTCAGCATCGTCTAGCCTATCCCCAATGGTAAGCCAGCCCCACCAGCCCACCGTCCCAGACTGTGATGGGCCCCGCGAAGCCCGGAAGAATAATGGGCACTTCTCTCCGCCCAGCAGGGCCAAGGGCCGCGCCGGTGGGGCGAGGGCTCACAGCTTTTAGGAGGGGAACACACACAGACACAATTCATCGGCGACTCCCAGGGCAGTGTGGGAAAGCATGAGAAGGGGGGGGGGAAGACGAACATCTAGAACATGTGGAAAGCATGTGGTGCTTCTTCACCTGTATGTGTCCCTGGGCCCCTTGAAGCTTTGGAGGCCCAGGAGCCCGCCTCCTCTGCCGTGCGCGCCGCTGGCTCCCGACGGGACACCTGCCGCGCGGCCCTCGCTGGTGGGGTGTCCCTGCCGACCCGCCCGCGAGGCCCGCGCGCCTGCTGGCCACGGCTTCTCCCGCCGCCGTCGCCGTCGCCGCCGCCGCCGCGCCAGTCGTCGTCGTTGGCGCCGCTGCCGCAGTCGTTAGCGCCGCTGCCACCGCCGTGGTCGTCGCCGTCGCCGCCGCCGCCGCCGTCGCCGTCGTCGCCGACGTCGTCGTCGCCGCCGTCGTCGTCGTCGGCGTCGGCGCCCCCGCGGCCGTGCGGCGGCGCGCGCGCGCCCCGCGAGGGCGTATCTGGCCCGGGCAGGCCGCCAGCGCCGAAGGCGAAGGGTGGGTCCGCGGCGGCCCCGGGGGCGGAAATCTTGTCGTTTTCGTCGTGGTCGTCGTCGTCGTCGCCGCCGCGGCCGCCGCCGCCGCCGCCGCCGCCGCCGCCGTTGCCTCCGCCGCCGCTGCCGCCGCTGCTGCCGGCCTCGGCAATTTGCGTTTCCTGAACGGCCCTGGGCGTTCACGAAACGGCCCTGCCCTGTTCGATCCCTTCCCCAGGTGCGTTTGCTCAACGGCTTTGCTATCGGCTCTCTGCTACTGTCAGGTTGCCAGTCGAGAGCCTCGCAAAAGCAGCAACAAATAATCAGACAGTCGGAGATCAACGCATCGCGATGGGGGAAAGCGCCGCCCAAGCAGCTCCTGACCTCGCAGTAAGCTGCTCGCCGCAGCATGCGGGACTCCCACATGGATCAGTCGTCTGCCTTCAATCTGCTTCGCCCGGACTGCCACAGCCCCCTTATTCGCGGCAAATATGCAGACCCCCCCAGGACTCACAACTCCTCCCTCCCTTCTCATTCCTCCCTCCTCCTCCGCCTCTCCCTCTTAGCAGGGAACGTGTTTGCCCCTCCGTTTCCCCGTTCCTCCATGCCGAAGGCGCGTCTTCTCGAGGGCCACATTGGCCAGCGACGCGCTCGAAGTCACCCCGGCGGCGTCCGCGTTCGATATTGAGAAAGTTGGACGGTGCGATGTTTTCTTCTCTCGTTGCTTACTTTCCCAGTCAACTGGTTGTATGCCAGACTTCTAGCGTCTTCGGGCAGCACAGGTTCTTCTTCTTCTTCTTCCTCCTCCTCCTCCTCCTCCTCCTCCTCCTCCTCCTCCTCCTCCTCCTCCCCCCTCTTGTTTTCCTCCCTTCTCTCCTCTCCTCCCCTCCCTCTCTTCTTCCTCCTTCGGCTCATTCCTCGTTCTGTTCTCGTTCCTATTCTCGCCTCTCCTCTCTTCCTTTCTCTTCCCCCTTTCCCTCCTCCCATTCCTCCTCCTCTTCCTCCTCCTCCTCGTCCTCCTCCTCCTCACCTGGTGATTTGGAAGCTGTCTGACTGCCTTGGAGTTTTTCTCTGCCGCTCAGTCTGCCGTGTGAGGACGTTCAGGGGCGACGAGGGCGGGGCTTTTGACCTCCGTCTTGACAGAGTTAAAGTCAGGTGGCGGGCTTCAAAGTTGTTCTTGGCCTGGTGGCCCGCTTCGGGCCCCTGAACGACCGGGGATGAGGCACCAGTCCCTGGGTGAAGGGGTCTGGTCGAGAGGTCGGAGGGACCACGTCACAAAAATATCATAGCGTCGGATGTTTGGGAATCATCGATCCCCACAGTGAACATCCATAGTGAGGTGGCAGTGTTTCGTGTCAAGGACCCCTGGCTGCCCATGCCTCCTTGCCTCTTCGGCCGGTCCTTGTCCAATGCTGCCCGTGGTCTGCCGTTTATCTTGTCCCACCTCTGCTTTTCACCCCACATCTTTGCTTGCACCATGGGGGTTCCTACCTGCGTTCTGGCCATCGATAGTTCGCCCGGTGGGCGCCGTGGTCGCCCATGGCCCCCCTCGCGCTGGGTGGCTCTGTCGAGGTTTCGCTCGGTGGGCGCCCGTGGGCGCCTCGTGGTCGCCCTGCGCGCCGGGTGGTGGCACAGCTTGCAGTGGATATGCTCGCCACCACGCAATTTTCTACCCTCCTGCGTAGCTTTCGCCGCGTAGTCTGCACCACACAGCCTGCACTGCACGGCCTGCAGCACGCAGCTTGTCTACACACAGCTTGCACTGCACGGGCTTGCGCCACGCAGCTTCCACCACATGCTTCGCGCGGCATAGTGGACACCACACAGCGTACACCACTCAGCTTGCACTGTGCAGTTTGCACAACCTAGCTAACACCACATAGCTTGCACTGCATAGGCTGCACCACAGTGCTTGCATTATATATACATATATTTACACATATGTATAGGTCTATATATTGTACAGCATAGGCTGCAACCCGTATATGGCACCACGTAATTTGTACCATCTAGCTGGCGCCACGTAGCTTTAACATCCACAGTGCACTAGCTTATTGTTCTGGGCACACGCTGGCAGACATGGCTGATGTTCGAGAAGTTTGTTTTTCGATGTTTCCTTTCGCGTGCCCGATGCAGGAAATTGTCTCCATGTGGCATGCCGGAATTTGTGAGCCAAGTGTCGCGCATCTTGTTCATAGTGTTTTTGTGCAAGCTTGAAGCCTCCTCCCCTACCTCATTATGGTCGGTATCCTACGCTGCAGGGGAACACTCGGACTGCGCCTCCCTCCCCGTGTGCGGTGTCCCGCCTCCGCGAGTACACCTGCGCGAGGCCCGCATGGCCAGAAGTTCCTGGCATGATGCATCTGCCGTGCGTTCTGTCTGTGATGCTACGTGCGTCTTGTATGTTTTGCCGCGTGTCGGACGGGCCTGTGTGTCCTCTTGCCCGCACCTGGCCAGGTGGCTTCCGTGAAGGTGTCCCATACGCAGCCACCTTTCGGCAAGAAGCTGCATTGGAGGCGGATTGGAGGGAGGGGCAAGGGAGGGAAGGAGAGAAGGGGGAGGTGGAGGGGGAGAAGGCGGGGGAAGGCGGACGGGAGAGAGCGGTGTGGGCGATGAGGAGAAGGGGCGAAGGGAGAGGAGGATGAGAGGGGAGGAGAGCGGACCATAAAGGGGGAGGAACGGAGATGAGGAGCGGGAGGGAAAGGAGGAGGATGCGGAGGATCATAGGGGGGAGGAGGAGGCGGAGGAGGAGGAGGAGGAGGAGAAGGAAGTGGCGACGACACGTAAGCCAGGTGTGCGTGCGCCATATCTGGCGTCCTAGCCCTCCCGCCTATCCCTTCCCATTGCGTTGTGTTTTCTCGACCCGCCCATGGGTGTCCTAATTAGCGGACCTGGATCCCCTAGATGACCCCGTCGTGTCATGCGCAATCAGCAGGAGGAGGCGGAGGAGGAAAGAAGAGGAGGACGAGGCGGAGGAGGAGGACGATGAGGACGAGCAGCAGTAGCGACCATGGGAAGGCGGAGGAGCAGAACGGAAGAGTCCGACAACGACGAGGCGTACCCCGATCCAGAAATATGGCCAGGTCTGGGGTGAGAGCGCCATTCTGAACGATGGGGTCAAACTGCCGATCTTGAAATGAGGCCAGCGCTGCAGAGGGAGCACCGCTCAGATCGGGCAGATGTACGCACGCAAGTATCAGCTAATGAAACCTCAGCGTGCGTAAAAACGCATTGTGGAAGAAGCACCGCCCCACTCGCACCGTATCTTGGAAAGAGGGGCGTAGTATAATCCCATCAGCCCTTCAGGGCGTAGGTGTTTTAGGACGTGTCCTCTTCCAACCCCCCTTGCTCTCCTTTGGGGGTTTTGCTGTTCCCTACCAGTGCAACACTCCCTTCCCCAGGCGACTGGCAGCCAGCCCGTACCCATGCGGGCACCCATGAGGGCACCCCGCCACCCCTGTCAACAAAACAATGCAACGTACATTTCGGGGCATCTTGTTGGGCTATGCTCGTGGCCCCCGCGACTATTGTGTATCGCTTTTTTGTGGCAGGGGCGGCGGTGGTACCAGCATGTTGCCTTCTATGCGCAGGGCCACAATCCCTATCAAAAGCAAGACAAAGTGCACTTCGCGGCAAACTTTGGACCAACGGCTGCCTTCTACCAGGTGCCTTCTTGGACGTGCTCTAGCGACCCGCGGCCCCTGCCGTCCAGACCCACCCAGGGGGGGGGGAGAGGTCAAGCAGCTCTCCGCGCCGGCACGCCGTCTCCCTCACTCCCAGCCGCCCTCCCAGAGCATAAGGAGCACCCCAGTCTCAGCATGCTCAGCGCTCGTCTTTGGATGGGCAGCTACTACAGACCACACAGGCCCCATGTGTGCGACTCTGGGGCGAGGTGCGCCAAATGCGCCACGTGCCCGGCACGCCTGTTGCGCCAAATGCGCCACATGCTCTACGTGCGCCTTGTGGCCATGTGCGCCGCATGCCCCAACCGCGTCAGGTGCGCCACGTTCGGGGCACGCACAGAGTGTGCCAGGCGCGCCCGCGCACGTGACACCACACATCGGGAAACATGTCAGCTCCCACCGTCCTTGTCGAAAACAAAGGCGCAATCGCGGCGGCGTGGCCATCATGGCGTCTGGCGGGCCTGCACACAACAGGCAATCTGCCAGCACCTTCGCCTTCCTTGTCCAAACAAACTGATAGTGATCGTGGGGTGGCTGCGCACGCTTTTGGCCCTCGGGGGGGGGGGCAATTAAGGATTTGCCCGTCGTTGATCGACGGCCTCCAATATGACCCCAAGACGGCCCTAAACACTCCCAAGAGTCCCTAGAGTGCCCCAGGAGGCGCCCAGGAGGCCCCAAGAGGCCCCAAAAAGGTCCCCAAGAGGCTCCAAAAAAACCTACAAAAGGCCCCGAGAGGCTCACCCGAGACACCCAATACGCACCAAAAGGCCCCCAGGACTTCCAAGAGACCCCCAAGACGCCCCAAGAGATCCCAAGACACTTTCAAGAGACACCCAAACAGACCCAGAGAGGCATCCAGGAGGCCTCTGGCCATTCTGTTCGGTGTCCTCTTCCTCGTCCTCCTCTTCCTCCTCCTCATCCGCCTGCGTATTCTTCCTCCTCGCTCTTCCCTTCCCCCTTCCTGTCTTCCTCCCCCTCCGATTGCTCCTCCATCCTGGTCTCTTGGAGTCTGGCGGCTTCCCCGGCTTCTCTTCTCCGCTACATGCTCCTCCGCATCCCGGATCGGGGCAACTCGGCTGGGCACCCGCTTTTGGATCGGCTGGTGGGGTTGCGCGGTCTGGGGTAGGAGGTGGGAGGCGGGGGGAGCGGAGGAAAGGGCCGTGCGCCCCCCTCGGATGCTGCTGCTGATGATGGTGACGATGAAGATGATGATGATGATAATGAGGATGAGGATGCTGATGCTGATGGTGATGGTGATGGTGATGGTCATGGTGCTGGTGATGGTGAAGATGGTGACGATGGTGATGACGATGGTGGTGGTGGTGATGGTGATGATGGGGGTGATGATGGCGATGATGACGATGATAATGATCGGTGATGATGCTGATGATGAGAGTGATGATGATGATGGTGGTGGTGATGATGATGGTGATGGTAACGGTGTTGGTGATGTCGGTGTTTGTTGTGATGGTGATGATGGTGATGATGGTGATGACGATGATTGTGGTGGTGTTGATGGTCATCATGTGGGTGATGATGGCGATGATGGCGATGATCATGATCGGTGATGAGCATGCGGATTCTGATGATACTAGTGATGATGAATATTACGCTGCTGATGCTCATGAGGCCGATGGTGGTGATGATTATGATGTTAATGATGGCCATGCTGATGTCGATGACGATGATGATGCTGATGACGATGGGGGTGGTGCTGATCATGATGATGACCATGCTGATGACGATGATGCGGCTGATGATGATGCTGGATCATGATGATGATGATGCTTTTGAAGATGATGACGGTGATGATGATGATGATGATGATGATGATGAGGATGATGATGATGCGGATGAGGATGAGGATAATGAGGATGCTGATGATGCTGATGATGATGATTCTGATGCCGATTCTGATGGTGCTGATGATGCTGATTCTGATGATGATGATGATGATGATGATGAGGTTGGTGATGATGGTGAGGGTGTTGGTGATGGTGACCATGACGATGACGATGGCGATGACGATGACGATGACGTTGTTGTTGTTGATGTTAATTATCATTATTGTTGTTACTATCATTATTATTATCATTATTATTATTCTTTTTTATCATGATAACGGTGGCGAGGATGCTGATGATGATGCTGATGATGAGGTTGATGATGATTATGCCGACGATGATGAAGCTGATGACGAAACTGAGTATGTTTTTGATGGTGCTGGTGGTTTTGGTGAAGATGATGATGACGAGGAGGATGATGACGGTAATGGCGATGGTGATGGTGATGTTGATGTTGATGTGATGTTGACGATGACGACGAGGATGATGATGACGATGCTGATGCTGATGAAGATGATGATGATGATGATGATGATGATGACGATGATGATGATGATGATGATGAAGATGTTGGTGATGATTGTGAGGGTGTTGACGATGCTGACCATGACGATGACGATGGCGAGTCCGATAACGATGACGTTGTCGTTGATGATCATGATGGTGATACTTACTCTAGTTATTTCAATGCTTGTTATTCTGATTATGCTGATGGTGGTGATGATGCTGATGAGTATAATGCTGCTGATGATGATGATGATGATGCTGCTGATGATGCTGCTGCTGATGATGATGATGATGATGATGATTATGACGACGGTGATGATGTATATGATGGCAAAAATGATGCTGTTGTCAATGGTGATGGTTGTTTTGGTGATAGGTTGATGATGAGGATAATGACGCTAATGGTGATGGTGATGGTGAATGTGATGATGATGATGATGATGCTGATGATGCTGATGATGATGATGCTGTTGTTGACGATGACGATGACGACGATGCTGATGATTATGATGATGATGACGACGATGATGATGCTGCTGATGATGCTGATGATGATGCTGGTGATGATGGTGAGGGTGTTGGCGATGCTGACCATGGCGATGACGATGACGTTGTTGTTGAAGATCATGAGATTCGAATTGTTAGCATTATTATTGTTATTCTTATTGCAATGACTGTGATGATGATGATTATGATGCTGATAATGATGACCAGGACAATAAGGATGAATCTGTTGACGAACACGATGCTGTTGTTGACGGTGATGGTGGTTTTGGTGATGGTGGTGATGCTGATGCCTGTAATGGTGATGGTGATGGTGATGGTGATGGTGGTGATGATGATGTTGACGATGACGATGATGATGATGATGAGGAGGAGGAGGAGGAGGAGGATTTCGATGATGATGCTGATGATGCAGATGACGATGATGGTGATGATTAGCCCATCGTGCTACTGCTTCTCGCTCCCCCCTTCGACTGCTCATCCTTCTACCTTCTTTCTTTCTCCTCCTCCCCAGCAGGAGAACGAGGCGCCGGACGGTCTTGGCAGTACTCCATGCCGCCTCATGGTGAGCAAGTCCAGAGTCTCGTGACGCATGCACCTTGCTTGTGCGGAGCTGAGCCCTTGGTATCGGCCAAGGCTTGTTACACAAGGACCGGGGGGGGTCTCCTGATGGAGGCTCGTGACGCGGAAATGTGCTACACCAGGGACTCGGTATCCGTTACGTCTTGACCGAGATTCGGTACATGCTCGAAACCCGCCGCTCTCCCACATCGTCCTAGTGCGTCTCGAGTACTCCGCTCCTAATCACCTCCGTTTCTTGCGTTCGAATCCCCCAGAACCTCCCCTCGCTCTGCGCACCCTACAGAGTTGCTTCTCCACCGAGAAACCCATCTCTCAACATCCAGTATATCCCTCCTGCTCCTACTGATCCTCTTGCTGCTGCTGCTGCTGCTCCTCGTTGTCGTCCTCCTCCTCTGCACCCCTTCCTCCTCCTTGCGTAGATCTTCCCTCCTCCCCGGCCTGTCCTCAAGAGCAGGTCCCTCCTCCTCGTCCTCCGCCTCCACCTGACCTTGTAGTCCTCCTCCTCTGCACCCCTTCCTCCTCCTTGCGTAGATCTTCCCTCCTCCCCGGCCTGTCCTCAAGAGCAGGTCCCTCCTCCTCGTCCTCCGCCTCCAACTGACCTAGATCTCCTACTAACCCGAACCCCCTAGGACCGCGTAACCCAACCGTGCCAGAACTCTTCGTCATTCACCTCCCCCCCGAAACTTCGGAGACCCACCCAAACCACCCAATTTATTGCACCATTATGATCTTTCCGCTTCCTTCCCTCCTACTTCTCTCGCGGTCCTCCTCCCCCCCCTCCTCCGCCTCCCCCCTCCCTCCTCCTCCTCCCTCCCTTCCTCCTCCTCCTCCTCCTCCTCCTCCTCCTCCTCCTCCTCCTCCTCCTCCTCCTCCTCCTCCTCCTCCTCCCCCTCCTCTTCCTTTTCCTCCTCCTCCTTCTCCCCCCTCCTGATCCTCAGAGAGACTTTGGCCTAAAGTGCACAGCAAGGCTGAGCAGGCGACCAGGGCTTAGCACATAGATATATAATTACAGATATAGAACCGCTTCGCGACCGCTCTCACTTCACCTTCCTTCTCATCCTCCTCATCCTCGTCCCCCTCCGCCTCCTCCTCCTCCTCCTCCTCCCTTCGAGACATGACCGCAGCCAAGCCACAACCCTCTCCCCGTGCCCCCCCTCCCCTGCCTCCCCTCTCCCATCCCTCCCCTTCACCCTGCCCCCTGCCTCTCCCTTTCCTCCCTCCTCCCCCCTCCTGCCCCCCTGCGTTTATATCCATGACTCGCCAGAGAAACCTTCGAATGGCGGCCCGCTTGCAGACCTGGCAGTTTGGTCGTCGATCCCCTACTTAAGGAGGCATGTAGGGCCTGCGGCCTAGAAGCGCCTGACAGCCTTTGAACTCGAGACGCGAGCGCATGCTCGTAATTGCACAGGGCCGCATTCAGGGAAGCCTAGGCAAGCAGCGTCCATGCCCACCGAAAAAAAAACACTGTGATCCTCCACCCCCTCCTGCCCTCGGCGGAGGGATGGCAATTCAGCATTCCCTGGGAAGGGATGGGTGCGGGAGGGGCACACGATGCCAGATACCGTGGGGGCCCATGCCAAGAAACACCCTGCTTACCTCCAGGGTGCCCTCGGTTTCCTGGGTTTCGATGGCTTTGCGATGGAAGACGTGACGTTCCCACACCAGAAGTCAATGGACGTCCTCGGGTCTCAGGGTCGGGTTCCTTGCGGAAGGTCTCTTGTGGACTGGCCTCCGTAGGGCGCGAGCGCGCTTGGCTTGTCCCCCCCCTCCTTGCTCCCCCATCTCCTCCCGTCCCAGGATCGGCGGCGAGCCCGGGGGGGGGGGGCGGGAAAGCGAGAAGGGGCGGGCCTCCTCAGAAGGCGCGGAGGCCCCCCGGGCGTTCCGAGAAGTCTTCGGAAGCTCCGCCGGCTTCCGAGAAGGCCCTCTCCTTTTCCCTCCCCCCCCTCGCTCGGCGACAGGAGCATCTGACCAGAGGAGGTCGCCTCCCTCTCCTCCTCTTCCTCCCCCTCCGCCTCCTCCTCCTCCTCCTCCTCCTCCTCCTCCTCCTCCTCCTCCTCCTCCTCCTCCTCCTCATCCTCTCTCCTCCTCCTCGTCCTCCTTCTCCTCCTCCTCCTCCTCCCTCCTCCTCCTCCTCCTCCTCCTCCTCCTCCTCCTCCTCCTCCTCCTCCTCCTCCCCCTCGTCCTCCTCGTCTCCTCCTCCCCCCTCCTCCTCCTCCTTCCTCCTCCTCCTCCTCCTCCTCCTCTGCTCCGCCGAGGCTGCTGCCCGCCGAGGCCGTGGGCGACGCCCTCGGGGCCGCCCCAATCGGGGGGTGGATGGGGGTGCGAGCCGGGGCGGGCCGTCGCGTTTTTTGTTTGTTTGTTTGTTGTTGTGGTTGTGGCTATTGTGGTTGTTGTTGTTGTTGCTGCTGCTGTTGCTGCTGTTGTTGTTGTTGTTGTTGTTGTGGTGGTGGTGGTGGTGTCGTGGTTGTTGTTGTTGTTGTTGCTGTTGTTGTTGCCGCGGCTGCTGTTGATGTTGTTGTTGGTGGTGCCGTGGTTGTTGTTGTTGTTGTTGTTGTTGTTGTTGTTGTTGTTGTTGTTGTTGTTGTTGTTGTTGTTGTTGTGGTGGTGTCGTGGTTGTTGTTGTTGTTGTTGCTGTTGTTGTTGCTGCTGCGGCTGCTGTTGATGTTGTTGTTGGTTGTTGTGGTGGTGTCGTGGTGGTGGTGGTGGTGGTGGTGGTGGTTGTTGTTGTTGAACATTATTACTTCTAAAGAATAATTATTGTTGGGACCCCTGGTGCGCGACCCCCCCGCCGCGCCTAGGCCGCAGCCTCATTTTCATCATTTTCGTGAGGAAGTCTCAGGCAAAACGGGTTGGTCCGGATCCGGTTGTGTTGTTACGATCGGTTTTCCCTTGCAAAAAATAAGCTAAAGTGGACATTTCTTGTTCTAACATAACCAAACTTCAAGAATCCCTTGCAAAAAATAAGGTAAAGTGGACATTCGCGCGCGCAAGACGAAATCCTTCCAAAACCTTAGTTTTCGTAGCGATTTTAACATAAAAACATCAAAAAACCAATGGTTTTTCAAAAAAAAATGTCAAAATTTCATCCCGCGCGCTCTTGCGGATTCGTAGGAAACCCAACACTTTTTAAACATTTCTGTCAAACGGGCTTTTGCGAGCAACTTTTTCGAACTTCTGCACAACGGTTGCGCACCTGCCAGGGCCATCATCCCTGTCAAATAATACCATGCGGGACACATTCGTTTTTTCTTCGCGCGCGCACGCCGTCGTCGTCGGCCGCGGGGCCCTGAATAGTAGCCACGGTCGTCCGCATGCCACGAAGTGAAGTGTCCGAACGTCATAGGGCGGGAAGCTGGGTGTGGGTGGTGGCGAAGAGTCGTTTGGAAATTTGGTAGAGCTTGAACCGGCCCCCCCACAAAGTGGGGGTATTGCCCGCCTCCTATGAAAACCCTGGCACTGGTGAGAACGGTGTGTCCCCACGTGCTAGTAATTGTTGTTGTTGTTGTTGTTGTTGTTGTTGTTGTTGTTGTTGTTGTTGTTGTTGTTGTTGTGGTTGTTGCTGTTGTTGCTGCTGCGGCTGCTGTTGATGTTGTTGTTGGTGGTGCCGTGATTGTTGTTGTTGTTGCTGTTGTGGTTGCTGCTGCTGATGCTGATGCTGCGGCTGCTGCTGCTGTTGTTGTTGTTGCTGTTGTTGTTGGTGTTGTTGTTGGTAGCTGCTGTTAGTTGTTAGTTGCTAGTTGTTAGTTGTTCATTGTTTTTGTGCCGTCTGTTTGTTGCTGCTGTGTTCCGTCTTCCTCACCGCCTCCCCCTTGCTGGGGCGACGAGATGGTAGCTGTTTTTTGCAGGCACGTCCCGCCGATCGGTGCGGGCCCCTGGCCTTCCCCCCTCTTCCCTCTCTCTCTCTCTCACTTTCTCCCCCCCACACACACAGACCAGATCTTGGCTGCCCGGCGACTGGTCAGCATCCCCCTCCCGCCCAGTCTGCTTGCGCGACCGGCGGCAGCAGATCGACGAAGCACCAGCCCAGGCCCAGACCACCCCTCCCCCGCCCCCTTCCCTTCGGCCAGGTGTCTCGGCCCAGGAACCAGGAACCAGGAAAGGCTCACACATAGAGGCATTTCTTGACAAAGGGGTATCTCTTGATAATCACGTCTTGGACGAGCACGCGCTGGGGGGGCATACTGGCTGAAAGCACGGCGACATCATTGACATCCCCTGGACACGCATGGCAATCAATATGTCTGAATGGCGGCACATGGACGACCAGCGCGCAGAATGAATGCCGCATCATTGCCGCGACTGCGCACTTGTAACAACAATAGTCACATTGGCAGTACCGTCATCACGTTCCGATTGTATTCTCGTTTGACCACTGGTCGGGTGTGTCCAGTAAATGTTGCGTGACCACTAATGTTGTGTGACCACTGATGTTTTGTGACCACCAGTGTTGTGTGACCACAAACTCATGTGTGTCCCTTTTCGGAACCCTGTTCGGCACCCGTCCTGGATACGCATGAGAATTTGCGTTCAGAGGGGGCCTGTGACTGTTTGCATGCTTTTATTATTTCCGACGGACTCGTGCTCCCAAACGTAGCGGTCACATCAGTGGGCCTCTCTCCCCCCCCTCCCCTCCCTCCTCCTGGTCCCCTGGTCCCCCTCCCTGCGACCTCCACCTCGTCCTTTCATCCCTGGGCCCTTCCCTGGGCCCTCTCCGAAGCCCCTCCCGACGTCCTGCCCCGCGCCCAGCCTGACGTTTCTCCAGGCTGGCCAGCGCCGCACCAGACGCTTCCCCTGGGGGAGCCACAGGCACCCGAGCCCAGACCGAAAATGGAAAAACAAAACAGAGCACTGCGGGCGACCATAAAGTCAGAAACTGGAACATGTACATTACCAGTGGCGGTTTTTGTTTCAATCCCACGACTTCTTGAGGGTCGGGGGCGAAGTCGGGGTGGTGTGGTGTATACTTCCCCCCGCTTTCCAAGGCAAGCAACGAAACATGTATACACCAGGATCCCGTATACACCAGGATCCGCGTTCCTGTGCGAATTTCAGCGCAGGGTCGGAACAAGCGTCGGTGTGTAGAGCTCGTTTCCCGATAAAGGGGCATTCTCTCTGATGTGCGGGAGTGCCCTCGCTGACGTTTGTTTTCTTCCAGGGATACGGCCCGCAGTAGAACCGGATGGACGCTCGCTCGCTCGCCCGACGTCGTTGGACACCTACGGTGAGGATCACATGCCAGTGCCAGTGGCTCTCCTCGAGGACGCCACTACACTGGGAGAGGCGATTGTCAAATGGCAACACGACTTACGTGTTCGTGCGAGAGGGTCGGGAGAAGACTTCATGAGCATCGGCCATGGCTACGCGTTGCTCATAATTCACGGATGTCAGGAAAGAGGGGCTCAATCAGGTGGGGTTGGAGGATCACGCCGGTGTCGCCGAGGCATCGGCGATGCATCGGCGACGCTGCGCGATCCTCTGACCCCGCCTGCTCGGGCCCCCTTTGCTTGGTGGGCTTGTTTTCCACCGCCACCACCACCATAAGTAGGAGGAGAGGGATGGGGGTCCTCCTCCTCCTCCTCCTCCTCCTCCTCCTCCTCCACCTCCTTCCTCCCTCCAGCTTATGGTGGTGTTGGTGGTGGAAGACGGGCCCATCTTTTGCTGGGACGCCTTCGGCTCCTCCTCCTCCTCCTCCTCCTCCTCCTCCTCCTCCTGTGGGCTTCCGAGGCGACACCATCTTCGAGGAGCTGCACCCCTGGGGCGAGGCGCCGCGAGCGGAAGGGGCGGGTGCCCACAGGGGGGGGGGTGAAGGGGGGTGGCCATCGGGCGCTGTCGGAGGCGTCCCTGGCCCAAGAGCTGGGCGTTCGGAGGAGGAGGAAGGGAGGAGGAGGAGGAGGAGGAGGAAGATGAGCAGGAGGAGGAGGAGGAGGAGGAGGAGGAGGAGGAGGAGGAGAAGGACGAGGAGCAGGATGGGAAACTTCAAATTGGGGATTAAGGGAGGTGGCAATCAACGGTGGGGTGGACCGAGGACTGCAGGAGAGTGGCGTTGAAGGGGCCTCGTGCGGCCCCTAAATCAAGGGACCGAGATAACCAGTCTCGAAGTTACCCCTATCCCTAGGATGGGCGAGCAAAAAGCGAGGACAATCTTAGGGATGTGCCCTCAGAAACTGAGGGAATTCTTAAGATGGGCATCGAGCTGAGGTGATGCCAAACCAGGGATGGGAGTCTGTCTCAAACTGGTAAGGAGACCCTGTCCTCAGCTTGTCGGCCAACTGGGTTTTGCGGCGCATACAGGCCGTCGCAGTGTCTGCCGAACTCGCCCTCGAAGCGCATGGGCCAGGAGGGGAAAAACACACTCAGACAAGTAAACGTCGATTCCCAGGAACCTATTGGAAAAGATGGGAAGTGGATGGGGGAGACGAAACTCCAGAAACTATAGGATAGCATGGGGACTAATGCGATTCGCGTGTATCTGCTTGTGCGCCCCTGGGCCCCGTTGGACGGGTCGCGAGCGCCGCCAAGCTGTGCCGGCCCGGTGCTTCACTTGCCCCGGGGTCGGGGGCGAGACCTGCGCGAGCGCGCCCTCGCGGCCTCGTGGGCGGCTCGCGCGACGAGGGCCCGCTCGGGCGGGGCCGACTGGGCCGACCGCCCCCCTGGTGGGCGCTGTGAGTGCCCCGGGCCCATCGCTGGGGAGGTGGCGGACGGCTTCGATGGGCGGTGCGCGCAGGAGGGGGGGGGGGAGGGGGGAGGCTTCTCAGAAGGAGGCTGCTTCTTAGAAGGCGCCGGCCCTACATCTGTAGACAGGGCCCGCGCTTTCTGAGAGGCGGGGGCGCTCCTGAGAAGCCTTCCCCCATCCCCCTGCCCCCCTCTGCGCGCCGCCAATTCGACTCCGCCTTCGGCCTCGCAGCACGCTTCCCTGGGCCCTTGCTTTGCCGCGGAGCCAGCGGTATTCATTTGCTTCTGTGGGGCGCCATACATTGCCATTGGCACTGCAGGGCCCCGAGGGGGGACACCGCGCTGCGCAACAAACGGAGCACACTTTTTTGTTTCTTCTAACAGTAGCCGCAGGCCCAACAGGTGCACGAGATGTGCACGTTTTTTCTGTTGATTCCCCCCCCCCCCCCCTTCACACGAACGCACGAGAGAGATCGCCGCAGCTAGGGTCCATTTCGACCTGATCGATCTGATTCGGTATTGATTCTAGCCAGTTCGACCTGATTTGATTCCGACTTTGGGTTAAATCGGGCATGTCCTTAGGAGAAATACCCTAAAAATAGTTACAAATAGTAAGGCGACGATTTTTTCTCATTATTTTGGCAATTGTGTATATATTTTTGATCATTTTTCCTTCAAAATCCGCCTGTCGGAGGACATGCCCGACCTAACTTTCGGGCGATCTGGCGCGGCCCGACGTTTGCACGGCTTGGTTACTTGTGCATCCCAGCGCGGCGGGCTCGATCCGATGCTGGCCCTGTGCCGATGAGCAGCCTGACCCGACGCGCATGTCGATTCGACCAGGCGATTTTCCGAATCGGTACCGACTGATCGCTTTCCCAGGGAAGCACGGAGGCACAGATGTCCCGCCCCCTTCTCTTCTTCCTCCTCCTCCTCCTCCTTCCAGGGCACCCCTCACGAGCCCAGTCGGTGTGGCGCTTGCCTTTCTCTCCTCTTCGCCCTCGTTCGCGCGTGCTGGCAGCAGGGAGGGTGGTGCTCTGTGCCTGTGTGCTCGGGCCCGTCTGACGAGGCGCCGACGCTGGCAGCACCACAGGTCTGAGATCGTCGATCACTGAGCTGTGTGGCGGCCTCCTCCTTGACAACATCGTGGCATCATGTGCTAGCGTCGCACTGTGCATTCGCTTTTCGGGCACCTTGGAGCCAACAAGGTTCCTGCGCTCGGCACCACGCCGAGCTCTTCTACAGAGGAAGCCCATGCCAAGAAGCACCCTGCTTGCCTCCAAAGTGCCCTGGGTTTCTTGGGTTTCGATGGTCTTGCCGTGGAAAGCGTGACGCTCCCACACCAAATTAGCAGTGGACGCCCTGGGGTCTCAGGGTTGGGGCTGAGCACGGCCTCTTGTGGTCGAGCTCCTGCCACAAGGCCGTCCTCTGGGACGACTCCCGGCGTCCGGCCCTGGCCCGTCCTGCCCTGCCCTTGCGGGCGACAGAGGCGAGAGGGCCGCCGAAGCAGCCGCGCGCGGGGGGGGCGCTTGGCGAGGCGGCGGGGGAGGGGCCCGCCGCGCCGCGGTGGAGGGGCGCCTCGGGCCGTCCTCGCCGGGGGCTCACGAGACGGGGGTCAATGCAACAGGGGCTAGGAGGAGGAGGAGGAGGAGGAGGAGGAGGAGGAGGAGGAGGAGGAGGAGGAGGAGGAGGTGGCAGTTTAGGCGGCCCCTTGGGGCCCTCAGGGCCGTGCTCGGGCGGTCTCCCCGGCCGCCCGCGGCGCGCTCGGGGGGTCTCCTGGGGGGGTGGGGGGTGCTCCGAGGCCCTGGCCGTTGGGCCGCGGCCGAGGCGCGCCGCGGCCCTGGGGGGTGTCTCCCTTCGCTCCTGCTCTTGGGGCGTGCCTCACGGTGGTACACATGTACGGAGAGCCCGCACGGTAAGGATGGGCGGCCTTCCCAGGGGTACTCTTGCATCCTGGCCTCCGCGGTCCATCCTTGGCCGCTTTCGTGGGCCGCGCCCCGCTCGAAGAGCGTTGGCATGGTCCTCCAAGGCCCTTGCATCTTTACCGCGCATTCTTCTGGCACGGGTTGACGGTACGAGGAAGCCGTGCCCTGGTCGGTGCCCTCGTCGCACGCGCCCGCCCGCCCGCGCCTTGGCAGGCCTGCGCCGCAGGCTCTTGCGGGCCAGGGCACGCGCGCGCGGCCCTGTCGCGCCGCGCCGTCGGGGCGTCGGGGTCGGGGACCCGAAGGGGGCCTGCCAGGGGGTTCTTGACTTGCACGGGAGCTTTCAGTCGGGCGTGTCCCTCTACAGGAGGAATATTCAAACATAGTCAAAGGACCGTGGGGACGACTTTTTGATGATTCTTGACCATGTGGGTTTTTGTTGGAGCATTTTTTAGTTGTCGTCCAAGATCCGCCTGCAGGAGGACATGCCCGACCCAAACGCAGCTTGCTCGGGGTGAGAGGTTCGGTAAGCTTTAGCTGCGGTCGCTCTGCCGGTGGCGCTTGGCCCAGGCTGTACCGACAGCCCATGCGGCAGTCGCAGGCTGGCGCGCCCGCGTCGAATACGCTTTGGGCAGGAGGAAAGGCACGTCGTGGCCATTCGTTACAGCCTACCCTTGTGCACCACCACGTCGGGCCTGACCATCACGCCATCGATGACGTGTCTCTGCCTATTGCAGGCCCCGCGAAACCTGAATGCAGCAGCATCTAATCCCACCTAGGTGGGTAAGCCAGCCACGCCAGTGGAACACACACACACACGCACACAATTTGCGTGCGCCAGTGGGACGCCAAGTAACCGCCCTCAATTTGAGTAAATGTCGCACAGTGGGGTGCTCTCAGCCATCACGTTGCAGGACATCTCCAGCGATAGGCGGATTAAACATCGAGCCGATCCCCATTATTGTAGCTGCTTCGTGTGTTGCAAAGACGATTAGCACAGCGCTAAGGCGAGAAACGCATTTCGAAAATGATCCTGCTCAATCGTAGCTGCTATCCTGTTATTCTTTAGAAGTGCGTGCGCAGTGCTAAGGCGAGAGCTGCATTTCTAAAACGATTCGGCCTCAATCTTTGTGTTCGTTCGCAAATTTTCAAGCGAACGCGCGCGGCTCTAATGCGAGAGTCACATTTTGGAAACCACGGGCCGTCCATTTTTGATTATATTGTCAGAAAGTCCCGAGAGAAACGCGTTGAGATGAGACAGTGGTGAGTCGTTTATGAACAAGCGGGGTAGATCGGCTGCGAGCGAAAGGGGGTGGCGCCAGGGGTGAGGGGCTTCTATGAAGGCAGATGTGATTTCTTAGAAGGCAGGGGCCTTCTAAGAAGCGCCAGGTAGCTTGTAAGAAGGTCCCTGCCTTCTTTAGAAAGCCCCCCCCTCGCGACACCCCTTTGTGCGCGCCGCCAAATTTGTCTCCATCGAGGCTCGGCCTCCATCTGCCTCCACATCCAGCCACAACCCCCCGCCGCTCACACACGGCGGTCGTGGGGCCTTTGGAGGCATCCAGGAAGCTATCTTGAACGAGATCCTTCTATTTTGAACCATCTTGGGGGCCATGTTCGGGTTCGGAGGACCTCTTGGAGCCATCTCGAGTCATCTTGGACCTTGGTCCATCCGACCGCTCGCGACCCCCCCTCGAGACTCAGGGGATGGAGGAGGAAGCGCGAGTCTGCCTCCGCCCAGAGGGGCTGGTCGGAGTTCTTGGTCTCCCCCGAACGTCGCCAGCAACGTGCCAGAGGGGCCCCCCAGCTTGGGGCAGATGGGGTCACGCGAGGCGCGCAGGCGCAGCCAGACGGGTTCGGCCACGCCCCGGGACGGGCCAGGACCTTGCAACCTGGGCCGACCCAGCCTCCTCTTTCTCCTCCTCCTCCTCCTCCTCCTCCTGCTCCTCCTCCTCCTCCTCCTCCTCCTCCTCCTCCTCCTCCTCCTCTTCGTCCTGTTCCTCCTCCTCCTCCTCCTCCTCCTCCTCCTCCTCCTCCTCCTCCTCCTCCTCTTATCCGCCAGAGAAGCTGGAGCGGGACCCCCCTGGCAGCGCTGAGCGGAGGGGGCCCCCGAGCCCCTCAGCCTCAGCTCGAGATGGTGCGGAGCCATCCGGCCCTGGCTGGAGCAGGCTCACCCGAGCCGGAGGGGGCCCTGAGCCCCCCAACCTTGGACTTACGGGCCCCCCGGGCCTTCTGAACCAGGTGGGGCTCGGAGCCCCCCTACCTCAGCCCGAGGGGGGCCGAAGGGGGGCGGGAGGGGGCCCGGAGCCCCTCAGACTTCGCTGGAGGGGGGGCCCGCGGTGCCAAGCTCAGGGCCCCTCGGCCATAGCCGGAGGGGGCCCAGGGCCCCCCGGCCTTGGCCGAGGGGCCCTGAGCTGGGCGGGGCCCAGAGGCTCCCAGATCCAGCAGGGGGGGCTGTCCTCTAGGCCTCCCAGGTGTGGTCCGAGCAGATGGGGTCGGATGGTCGCCCCGCACCGCCGATGCATCTGCGATGCGGCTCGATGCGGAGCCCGATTTTTTCACGCGGACGTCGCCGATGCACCGCCGGCGTCGCCGATGCTTCGCCGACGATGCGTCGGCGACTCGGCGCAATCCTCCGACCCCGTCTACTCGGACCCCATCTAGGAGCCCTCTGGACCCGGAGCCTCCGAGCGTCCCGAAACGCACCAGGAGTTCTTCAAGCTTTTGCGCCCTGGGCGGGCCACGGCGCTCCCCGGCCACAGCGGGCGGGCCGCGGAGGCGTCCGGCCCGCGTAGTCATCATACGGGCTGGGGCGGTCGCGGCCGTTGGCGGCGGGGGCACTGGCCGCCTGCTGAAATCGGCGGGGCAGTTCTTGACGCTTCGCATACAGTCGACCCATATTAGTAGGTGGACCCTGCCAAATAAAGGGTACCCTTGTGTCCTGTGTCTCGCGACCCATGCTTCCTACATTCCTATGGCAATGTGGCCCTCGGAAGGGTCTTTTGTCCTCTCGCGTGTCCTGTCCAATCGAGTCCGACTGTATCTCCACCAGCCCAGCCAGCAACGGTTGACAAGCGAGATGCCTTGATCAGGGAACTGCAGAAGCATGCTGTGGGGCGACCCCCTTTGGTGGAAGAGCCCCCCCCGGCGCTCTCCCCCCCCCGGAGGTCACTGAAGCCTCCCGCGAGCTTGCGGTGGCCGCCCCGGGTACGAGCCGATTGCGCCTTCGCGCTTCAGGTGTGCACATGGCCCATGGCCTCCGTGGGCGCGGGGCGCGTGTGAGCGGAGGAGGAGGAGGCGCGCAGAGTTGGACGTCGCCCTTTGCAACTTCCTCACGTCGGCCCGACGTTCCCCTGGGCCCTGCCCTTTCCCCCCATGCACCTCGACCTCTCCCCACGTTAACGTCGCCCTACTCAACGATCCAGACCTCGCCCGAACTTCAACAATCCCATGCAACCGCCCCCAGTGATCGCTCAGCCTCCGCATACCCCCCGCGCCAACGCGCGAGCCCCCTCATGGCCATCCAACTTCCTCCACTTCGAAGCGCGCCAGACAGTTCCAGCGATCCGCGGACGACCTGCGTGCACCGTACCGCGTTGCCGTCTCCCGAGGCGTCGTCAACCCTCGACCCAGGAACGGTTCGGTGCGTAGTTGTCTCGGCCCTCGGGACCGAACAACTATGCACCGCACCGCGCTGAAGCGGGGCCCGAAGTGGAATCCAAGCATGGTGCAGTACATGGGCGCCATGCTCGCAAGCGAAGTCGTTTGTCCTTAAGTGTCCGTGGATCTCACAATGTATTGCCGATCACAGGTCGACGCCTACCCCCCGTGAGCTGCCCGCCCTGTCGCCTTCCTCCCTATCGCTTTCCCTCATTCTCTTCCTCCCTCCCCTCCTCCTCCTCCTGCTCCTCTTCCTTCTCCTTCTCCTTCTCCTACTCCTCCTCCTCCTCCTCCTTCCTCGTCCTCCTCCTCCTTCCTCCTGCTGCTGTTCCTCCTCCTCCTCCCTCCTCGTCCTCCCTCCTCCTCGCTCTTCGTCCCTCCTCCCTCCTCCCTCCTCCTTCTCCTCCTTCCTGCTGCTCCTCCTCCTCCTCCTCCCTCCTCCTCCTCCTCCTCCTCCTCCCCCCTCCTCCCCCTCCTCCCTCTCTCCCGTCCTCCCTCCTCCTCCCTCTTCGTTCCTCTTCCCTCTTCCTCCTCCTCCTCCTCCTCCTCCTCCTCCTCCTCCTCCTCCTCTCCCCTCTTCCTCGCTTCTCCTCGCTCTTTGTCCCTTCTCACTTCTCTTCTCGCTCCTCCCCCTTTCCTCCCTCCCGACTCCTCCTCTGCCCTACGCGTGCCTCGACGTGTGGCCGCAGCCCCCGAAGCGGCGGGCCCGCGCCCAGGTCGTGCCCCCGCTGGACACGCGGCAGCTCCAGCGCCTCCTCGCGCCGCCGCCCGCGCCCTCCGCGCTGGGCGCGCGAGCCCCCGAGGTGGGCCGGGCCGTCGTCGAGGGTTCGGGAGCCTCGAGACGGGGGTCCATGCCAACGGGGGTCAGCCAGAGCGCCCGATCTTGCAGGATCCCGCAGGGTCAGGGGCGCACTGGCCCGGGTCTGGGTGCAGGATCCCGCGGGAGCCTGCAGGATCCTTCTCACCGAACCCGGGTCGGGGTGCAGGGTCCCGCAGGATCTAGTCTTGCGGGCTGCTGCAGGGCCCTGCTGACCCGGGCCTGGATTGGCCCGGGTCAGTCGATCCCCGAGGCGGGCCGTCGGCGAGGGTCGGCCCTCGCCGCCGCCGCCGCCGCCGCCGCCGCCGCCGCCGCCGCCGCCGCCGCCGCCGCCGCCGCCGTCGTCGTCGTCGTCGTCGTCGTCGTCGTCGTCGTCGTCGTCGTCGTCGTCGTCGTCGTCGTCGTCGTCGTCGTCGTCGTCGTTTTCCTTCGCCTCCGTGTCCTTTTCCTCCGCCCTCTTCGCTTCTACGCTGCGCTATGGGCACTGGGAGAGTTCGTCGGTGCCGAGCTCCCCGAACAGACAACACACGGCTAGCCTTGACTGCCTCCTTGGGGGCCGATCTGGCCAGCGGGAACGCGGACGCCGAACCTGGAAAGGAGCTGTGGGACATCCCATCTTTCACCCGAGGTGGGATCCGACAAAACATCAAAACATTTGGGCTCACTCTCCCCATAGACCAAGACTCCATTACTCGAAGCCCGTATCAGGCCGAGGAGGTCCGCTGGGCTGGAATTCCTTCTGTCAGAGATCGTCCACCCCTTGTATTGCTTGGCCCAGCTGGGGAAGAGCTGACCAGGGCCAACCTCGCCCAAGCATAGCCCCCACGCCTGACGCACGTCATCGCCCACCAGACCCCCGCTTACCCTCGCTCCCGCCCCATCCCAGACCTTCATCATGAGAAGGTCGTGACCCTGGAGTTATACGATGGCCTGTGCCTCCGTGAGCTGTGCTCGGAGGCTTCAGGCTGTGCAGTGTCAAGAAGAAGCGGCGATCGGAAACAAAGTAGCGACTGTCGTGCGGCTGACGTGGGCCAGGCTGCTTTGTCTGGAAGCCGCTGCCTTTAGCCAGGCGCACCCATGCTGCACCTGTGGGTTGGGACTGTGTGCCAGGATCATGCTGGAGAGCCTTATCGGGATACCCCCCGAGCTCGACCAACTCCTAGGGCTCATCAGCACATCCAGGACACGGTCGGACCGAGGCGTAAGATCGAGGTCGGCTCGGGGAGGGTGCCCTAATGCTTTTCGTGTTTGTTGGATGTTCTTGTGCATCCCGGGGGAGAGTACCCTGGAATGCTCTTCAGTTAGGCCGGCCGAGGGTTTCGTGCTCTTGAAGGATGTTCTTTTGTCTTAGGTCCAGCCATACTTCCCCATTTGCAGGCATCAACCTGAGCCTCTTCAAGGTCCGTAAACAGGGCCATAGCGACTTCAACATCAGGGTGCAGCATTCCGTAGCCATTTTGGCTCAAGCCTTTGATGTGCCGAGGCAGCGATCAACCTTGGAGCTTGCAAGTCTGCGCCCTCGCCTGTGATCTTGTACAGCCATGTGCCTCCCGTCTGCCTCGGAGACTTCTGCCACGCACGGTCTCAAGGCAGAACCGACTTCGAAGCTCGTCATGTGCGTGAACTTGTACTGGGTCCTGATAGTTGGCACCACGGCTGTCGCGGTGAGCTACTGCAACAGTGCGCTTGTGGCCCTGGGCCTCTCAGCAGGTTGCCAGTTCTGTGCCTCGGCTTTCGTGGCCACAGAAATGATGTGGTGGCTTCCAAACGTCGGCGTGAACTGGGTTTTCGGTGCCGAGGCCTTGCAGCCTTTCCGGCACGCCCACAAGGGGGGCATGGGAGGGGCGCCCACGAGTGTGCGAGCGTCGCTTTGGCAGATGCCATATCAACTGACAGCCATGCGGCAGGCCCGGGTCTCCCGGGTGCGAGGCTATTGGCTGGACCCTCTGATATACGCTATCACGTATGCTTGCAGCGCCAGGCGGGGCGCAGTCGCCACGAATCTTGCTGTTGGTTTCTGGCCGTCCGACTCGCTGGAGCTTTGCTCGACGGCGCTGACCTTTGTCGGCATGCTCCTGTATTTCGACTTCATGTCGTTCCTGCTGCACTGGGCGATGCACACCAGAGTGTTGTACAGGAGGTACCACAAGGAGCACCATGACGTCCGTCATCTGTCCCCCTGGGCCAACGACATCGAGTCTGACGCGGAAGGGCTGCTGAACGTGTTCATGTGCAAGGCGACCACGGTGATTCTGGCTGCCTGGCTAGGCCTCTTGCAGGAGCGACCTTGGTTGATCGTGGCGTTCTATGCGTTCACGAAATGGTACGGGGTCATGGAGCATCTCAACATGACTCTGCCTCCCTTGCATATTCTCGTACGTTGGAAGCAGGCTGGTCATCCCCTTTGCAGTCTGCTATCTCTGCCAGATTACCACGACGACCACCACCGCTACTCTCCCGATGCTGAGGCGGTGGGTCATTTGGCAGTGTACACTACTTTTTGGGATCGGCTGTTTGCGCCCCTCGTCAGGAGGACCACGGTGGCCAAACTCTAGAAGAGCCCAACGGTTGCCAAGCACTCAGACTAATCAGCGCAGCCTCGACGGGTTATTTGAGAGTCGCCGCTTTCCGAATTGAGCTGGCCTGCATAATTGCGCTGACGGTGCCGCTGCTTACAGCATGCAGCGTGTACTTTTTGGGTGTCTGTGCGCGCCTTCCACACCATTCGGATAGATCAGCGTTCAGACGACA